AAAGGAGTTCACACACGCATTGGATGAACCCCGTTTAATAATGTTCGTATCCTCCAGGCCATTTCCTCCACAGAATGGGAGGGGTTGGGGTGCCTATAACGCTACCATTCTGTGGAAAATTGTTCCTTAAAATGGGGCCTTAAAATGGGGTCGAGCTTGCCATTTTGTAGTAATTTGTGGGTTTTACCTGGTTTTATCATTATTTTGAAGGCATGATCATTTATGGGCACCAAGACACACCATTTTGTAACAAACAAAAAACCATTTTGTAGACGTTTTTAAGGGTATGATTTGGTGGTTTAAAAAATGTGAATTAGTCATTGACAAAGAAAAATGAGCTAGCCATTCTGTAGAGAACTCATCGTTTCAATACATGTACCATTTTGTAAGTGCATATTTGTGTTTGCAATGGTTGGCTCGGAAACACTTTAGGACATTTAGTAGAGCAAAAGGCTAGTCCTCTACAAAATGGGCCACCCCGACCCCACCCAGGGAATGGCAACGGGGATATGTTCATGACAAAACCCCGTTTAAAAACACATAGATGACACTACCACAAAAATAAAAATCATCACAGTCTTTCATCCGCCATGCCAATATAATTGTTTCATCTTTCATGTCTAATCCAAAGTATTGTGCAACGTCCATACAGAAGCCTTTTTCCGAATGATTTCTTTAGCAACACATCGCCATCGTGGTTTCTTATCAAGAGTTCGATAACTTGTTCCTAGACATGAATGGAACACAGACTCCAGAGACCGAGTTGCAAAACACAAAAGGTGCAACAGCATCTGAAATTTCAGCTCCAAAACCGGATCTCGACGCCAAAGCAGAAAAAAGACGATTTTGAAGCACTTTTTAAAAGGATTTTGGAAAGGAAAATTAAGAGCGCCAAAATTGCGAAAATTGCTGACAAATCACTATCGCAGCCTGGATGCAGCCACTCCAATACGATTTACGAGATCTAGCTGCAAAAGACAATCGTATTGCGCAGCACCAAGCAACATTCATGCAGCCATTACAATGCGATCTGCAGAGACTGAGCTGCAAAACACAATAGAACTACACGCAACAGCGTCGGCAATAGCAGCTCCAAAACCGGATCTCGACGCCAAAGAAGAAAAAAGACGATTTTGAAGCACTTTTTAAAAGGATTTTGGAAAGGAAAATTAAGAGCGCCAAAATTGCGAAGATTGCTAACAAATCACTATCGCAGCCTGGATGCAGCCACTCCAATACGATTTACGAGATCTAGCTGCAGAAGACAATAGTATTGCGCAGCACCAAGCAA